ATTAATGATTAATAATACAAGTAAGATTGTGTTTGTGATACGCGTTTTTGAATGGTTTATGTTGTAAATTTTATTATGATTCGATTGTTGTTCTAATTCACTATGCTGGATGAAACTGTGTGAGTTGTCTTTTGGAAGTGTAAGCAACAAAATGATAAATTATTGTAAACCCAAGCCATTATTTATTATAAGGGCGCACTATGGCTAGCTTTACCACACAGGGAATAAGCATTGCATTCTATGAGCTGTGATGGCACCTGTGGTACCATGAGCGCCTGGTGGTAGAGTGCCGTGCGTAGTTTGAAAGTCTCAAACATAGGAGTTAGTGCTAATGAAAGTTGTTATTTAATCTTGACCAAAAGACCAGTTTTTGTTTCAGATTATAAATTGTTATCAGATCGCTTTTAATATTTCTGTTATCTACATTTGAAGGAACCTCAAAACAGGCTTTGCCTTGGAGGCCCAAGATTTTCTCCAGTAAAGTCATTGCTCTTATTCGTTTAGTTACAACTAGCTGTGTGCCCGTTCTACGCACGGGGATCTTAAAGTAGTCAGTTGAAACCTTCTTATATCAAGGTGCTCTTGTCCTTTTCGTGACACTGAGAAATAAGGGCATAAATGCGTTAACAGACATACACACAAAAATACAGAACTTAATTATGGAATTTGCTACGTTTTAAGCATATAACAAAGTACATATAAAATTAGAATTTGAAATCTTTGTCAATGTCATCAAATTTTATCATAACAATTTATATTTGCTTGGACCGAAGATGACTCGAAATGCTGTCGAAATGACGGTTTACTTTATGAAATTAAGTACTATAGACAATTTACATTGGTAATTTAGCCTATAATAAAAATTACCAAAATAGGCCACGAACTATTGATACATAAACTACGTAAATCGTAAACAATTCATGATGGTTTGCTAAACAAATGTTTTACTTAAATGAGTTATCATTTTCTTAGCATAAACTAACATTTTGGAATCCAGACAGAAAAAGCAAAACTTATACAGTTAAGACATCAATTAAATTGAATAAGGCTGTAATACCACTGTATAAATAAGGTGCAACACCAACGATAACTAATTTGTAAATTACAGTGATGTGTTGATACTAAAAATGTCAAAAATGATTCTTGCTGCTACCAACGGTTCTAAGGAAAAGAACCAGTACCAAAAACCAACGTTTACAGTTAAGAATTACGTCCGACAAATTAAATGCGGTTGTCAAGTCCCAAGGTTATTGATTTCTTGGTTTTGGATTTTCTCGTGAAAAGTTATCGGCAATCGAAATTGTTTCGCATTAATTGCTTTATTCGTTACAACTTTTAATGTAAATTTATTGGTGTCAGTTTGAAAAAAGAAACAACCTTATAAAAACAACTGTTTGTTATTCAATAGATTACGCAATACGCAGGCCTATTCTCTAAACAATGATTGGTATATCTTTTAACATTAGAATTAAATGTGACAAAAATCACGCAATGCTGGGTTTTTGGACGTTTGTAATTTTATTTCTTAAGTAGGGAGGCCGTGTATTCTAGGGAAAAGTAGCGGTATCAAGGATCGTCGTCGAAAAGGTTGTTATGAATAAGTGGGTAGGCGTAAGTACCCAAGAGATGGGCTATGGGCCTATTGGCTGTATGGTCCAGCAATTGCATCATACGGTGAGTAGGAACAGAAAGTGACACATTGGAAAAGCGAGTTTAGCATCAGTTTTTACTTTACACTTTACACTTTACACAACCCCCATTGAAGCGCCGTCAATGAGTGGAATCCTTGTTAGTAAGCTATTGGTGACGATCATTAATAAATTCAAGTTTCCCAGCCCTATACAACACTGATTCAAGGTCTTCTTTCTGGTTATCAAAACTCAAGAACAATTTTATACACAAAGAATCTCTGGTTCCTGACCTGGATGATGTTTTTAAATTTCATTTCCGGTTACACTATATTATTCCACTTGCGATTAATTAAATCCGTTATGTAAGACAACGTTTTTAATCTCACTTGGATGGGCTTTGCCTTCAAAACGTGATCGGAAATGGTTGCGGTATTTGTAAACAACATTTGTAAACATATCAGTGACAGCTAGAAAAAATAATCTTGATTCGAACAGCTGTTCGTTATTTCATAGATCATTATGTGATAAAAATTGGACGAAAGCTTGATAAAAATCGCACAAAACTGCATTTTTGAACGTCCGTAATGTTATTTACTAAGTAGTGAGGCCATATTTGAATGGCTAAAGACACTCTCGCCAATCCAGTGAATACATTAAAATGACTTGGATCTTGATAGGTACTCTCGTTTTCCTGGAGAAGATTGCGTAAAATGCCATCGTGAGTGTTACAGAAAGACAGACAGACAGACAGAAATTTAGATGAGACTTGTTTCGGCTTCTTTAATGTATAAAACGTAAAAATAACCTAAAAATGAATGATGTACAGACTAACTCTAATTTTATTTATATAGATGTTTAGTAACAACAAAACCAAGTAGTGTATTTTTTTGCTGTTTTAGTTATTTTTTACATATTCAGTATGGCGTTGTAAAGGGATGGACTATTTTTCTGTTTAAAATGAAACTAGATATATTTTGTTGTTGTTGATATAATACACTATCAATGACTATTGTAAATATTGTTAAATGTTTTTTGGAGAAAATAAAATATTCTTATTCTTATAAACGGTTGCGTTTCAGGTTCCCTCTGTGGGGCTTTTTGGCCGTTCACGTGGTGTAAACCAGGATACGTTGCTAAATATTACAAAGAAAATCACGGAAAGTTAAATCAACCTTGCATTGAGTGCGTTGAAAAAGTATCCGATTGGCCCAGACACTACAATACATGTAAAAGAGGCCTCACATGTAAATACACAGAGCGTCTGCAACACGATGCTACGTTGGACTTCTGGCAGTGGATTTGTAAAAACGTCAAGTAAATGCAATAAACAAGCTTGCAGAAGAGTTTTTAACTTATTTATAATCATCCCTTATACCCTTATAACCGGAAGTCGGATTTTTCCAAGATGGCCGCCGTGAGGCCCTCAAATCGACAAGATGACTGCAAATTCGTCGATTCATAGTTCCAGGATTGGCCGATTTCCACGAAAATTGGCAAACACATGTAGAACTATATTTCCAACCTTAAATATGAAAACTAGGCAGACAAAGTTACCCAAAGATGAATTTTCAGGGTATTATGTGCTAAAAATAGGATTTTTTACCTCAAATATATGTTTTCTAATATTTTGTACAAAGTTTGTTATAATTTCAAATTTTTTTTTCACCATTAGATTCAACACAAAAAACCTAACAATTTATTATATTGAATCTTTGTTCTGCTTCAAATTTGTTACAGAGATATTGAAAGTAATAACTTTAGTATGTTTTCTTGCCAAGATAACTCAATGTTAATCTTATAGACGATAAGCATAAATATTAATATTTTTTTTCATTAAACCTATATAGATAAGACTTTTTGTTCTGCTTCATATTATCTGTTTTATTTTTTTTTTTTTTACTAAAAATTCCTTTTTTGGCAGTTACTATTGCAGCAAACCTACGTATTCGGTTCCTCAGTTTTACTAAAAAAGTAATGGCAATGTAGTGACACATTATTTTAAACTAGATTTTCACGCCCATTCCATTGCCAAAATGAGTTTTTAAATATATTTTTTTCGTTCTAAAGATATATTCAAACGAAAATTCTCATGCGTACATTTCTTAAGGACGTTTCGTATTTTGAAATTTTTTAAGATTATTTTTTCTTATATCTCCAGTACATATTAACGCTTGCAGTTCGTTCTAGCCTTAAACATTTAATGATGTAAGGGCTTTCATTTGATCTATTGATCATTAAAATCTGACGAGTTAGAGACTAGTTACCAACCCTAACAAAATATACAATTTCACTTTTTAGAAATACATTTTTATTAAAATATTTATATTTTGGGTTCTTAATACGCCACCAAGTTCTTTCTAGTTTCATATTACTCAGTAAATGTTTGAGTTAATTTTTTTTAATCACTAAATAAAATGTGACAAATTTAATATGGGTCTGTCTTATTTAACAATAATTTTTTTCGAGATTTGTCTTTAGCTTAAGGCATATACCCCCAAATCGAAAAATAACTCCCAATACTCTTTATAATCTTAAAAGATTCATCAAAGTATTGACTTTTACTGTAGTTATGGATTATTTATTGGGAGTTATTAGAATTGGGGATATATGTACTTAACTAAAGACAAATTTCAAAGGCAAATAATTTAATATTAAATAAAGGTGCATGACTCATTTTTTATTAATTAGTCAGATATTATTCAGTGACTAATAAAATAAACAAACCTAATTCTCCACTGAGTAGAAAGAAAGAAAGAAAGAAAGAAAAAGCGCTTTATTTCCAAAATACCCAGTGCACAATAATTCGTCCCACGCAGGGGACGTGCCTACGCGCTACAGCAATGACCTTTCGGTCGTCTGCCGGGTTGGCACGTCTAAAACTAAATCAAAACAATTATTGGATTCCTTTAAAATAAAATTATAAATCTTTCCTTAAACTAACAATTATGGCCATTATTTTAAAGTTAAGAAATATAATACAATCCAACCAGTTTCTCTAGTTATATCGGTTTTTTTTTTTTTTTTTTTTTTTTGGAAGTTTGGAAGAGTACGATATTTAAATTTTTTATGATATTTTTTCCTCAATTGTTAAATTCTTGTATTAAAATCCACCTGTATTGCCAGGCGTTTTTTAAATAATTTACTAACGCTCGCCAATCCCTGCCATTTAAAAAACTAATATAATCCCGTTCAGAAAGGACTCTATTGTGTAAAAATGTTAATCTAAGATTACTTAAAATTGGACAAATAGCGATGAAATGAAATGTGGTTTCAATTTCACCCATATTACAAAGAGAACAGAACTTATTTCCCGTTGACCAAGGTTTACCATTCAAATAGAGCAGCTCTGCCCTAGCCTTAATTATCCAGGAAACGAAGCTGACATCGGCGTTATCAGTAAGGTAGCTTCTATCGCCAAGTTCAAGGCCAAGGTCGAGGCTGATCAGCTGACTGTGGTGAATGGACGTGCGTGCGCGCCCTATACACTCTCCTATCCATACGTCACTCAGCTTTTCCACCACCGTCAGACATCTCGATTTTACCGCCTCTGATCCAAAATCTACATCAACCCCTACCTTCTCACCTAGCATCTTCCACTGTCTGCACCAATCTAAGTTATGGTTTATAATTTGTTTGGCTAGAATCAAAGGAAGTCTATTATCGGGGAAATGTAGTACTTTTAATAGGTAATTTAAATTCGTAATCATATTATAAAAAAACAATTTTTTAAATCCACTTTCTAAATATATCACATAGTTTGGCGTGTTATAAGGCAATCGGAAGAGTCTCTTTAAAAACAATTTTTGAACGGATTCTAGGAATTCAGATTCGAAGCAACCCCATACCTGAGCCCCATAACTAACAATTGATTTTATGACGGAATTAAAACACATAATTTTAGATGATAAAGGCACAGATTTATTATTGATTAAGTTATTCCACACCGAGTTAATTGCTAATTTTGCTTGCCTCGCTTTATCTTTAAAATGTGATTGCCAAGATAACGTCGCTGTGAATAACACTCCGAGGTATTTATAGCTGTTTACTACTTCTACACGTTTCCCATTGAACCACCATTTATCTGACGAGGCCAATCTACCCCCATTTCTGAAAACAATTATTTTTGATTTTTCAAGACTAACTCTCAAATTCCATGTTTCACAGTAAGTTTCTAAATTTCTTATCATAAGTTGTAAGCAGGTGGACGTAGGCGCTAACAACACAACGTCGTCGGCATATAAAAGAATGTTTATCCTAGTCCCTCCAAAATTACAGCCGCCACCTAGTGCCTCAGGAAGATCATTAATAAATAAAGTGAACATTAAAGGACTCGCAGAACATCCTTGCCTAAGACCTGTCGAAGTTTCAAAATTTGCTGTCACACTGTCTCCACACCACACACCCGCTCTAGTACCATCATAATAGTTCTTAAAAATATTTAAAAATTTTGTTGAAACACCTATACAGGATAACTTAAACAGTAGCGACTTCCTATCAATAGTATCGAATGCTGCCGAGAAGTCAACAAAGAAAGCATATAGCTTACCTCCGGTCCTTGCCAGCCTTAGGCGCACAATCGCATTTAGGTTAAAGATATTGTCGATGGTTGAATAACCTCTCCTAAATCCCGCCTGAAACTCACTTATTAACTGCCTATCACTAGCCCAATTACTTAACCTTGAATCTAAAATGTTTATAAAAATCTTAGCTACACAGTTGATAAAGGACAACCCTCTATAATTTTTGACGTCATTAATGTTGCCTTTTTTATGTAAAGGAAAAATAATAGACTCCTTGAAAGTTTGTGGGACATTGCCACTCTCAAAAATACTATTATAAATATAAATAAGACTATTAAGTAATGCATCCGGTGCGTTTTTAAAAAACTCATATGGCACCCTGTCAATGCCAGGTGCTTTGCCATTTTTTACCCTTAACAACACAGCTTTTAATTCATCTAGTGAAATATTTGCATCGAGGTATTCGTCACAAACTACTGGCTGTGCATACGAAACAGTAGATACTAACAAGGGTGGATTTAATAAACTCTTAAAATGCTTCGTCCAATCCTGTATCGCAATTTTACCAATTTGGTTTGGAATTTTACATTTGAAAGAATTTATTGCACTCCAAAACTGCTTACTGTTCGTTACTTGAGACACATTATCTATAATTTGATTGTAGTAAGATTTTTTCTTTTTTTTACAAAGTGCTTTAAATAATTTGATCACCTCCAAGTATTTTACTTTATCTAAATCTAAATTAGTTTTCCGAAACTTATTCAAGAGTTTGAATGAGCGCCTACGAGCTGACTGACACTCCTTATCGAACCAAGCCTTTTTACTGATAAGACATTTGTTCTTGGGTACAACTTGTTTAGTTCGCGCTGATTCAGTGATGCAGCCTATAATTGAATCGACATTCCTTTGTGCGTCGTCTCCTAATTGCACACTTAATAGTTTCTCGCCAATTACTTTACAATACCTCTCCTTATCATTATCTACCCACTTTAATCTAGGAAGCAAAAATATCTTATTACTCTCCTCCCTGTCCTCAATCTCATCCTCGGCTCTAGGAGCTGTTATCTCTAAACTAAGGTCAACAGGAAGGTGGTCAGATCCTACAAAACTTAACACATTTAAATCTTTGACAGCATGCAAACAATTGATTGACACTCCCACCAAATCTATGACAGAGCTTCCCATATGACCCACGAAAGTAAACTCCCCATTTTTATCTCCGTAAGTCCTCCCATTTAATACTATTAGACCCAAATTATCCATTAATTCTAGTACTTTACGACCTTTCTGATTTGTTATTAAGTCCTTTGAATACCTCTCAAAATTAACATTCTTTATTGCCTCCGGGATTACTTCATTAGGCAGGCTTTGTTCTCTTCCAATTCTCCCGTTTAAATCCCCTAACAATATTAAGTTTTTAAAATCATTATTGTACAAAAAAGTTGTGAGTTTCTCAAATTCACTATCCCAGTTCCCAAAATTTAGATAAACTGGGAGAAGCCTGATACAACCATCATCAATACTGTTACTATCTTTAATCTTAAAAATCTTATAGTTTTCGATTTCCAACACTTCAATTTTACTTAGTAGCTTAGATTTTAAATTAACTAAACAGAGCGACCCCCCACTGCCTCTTCCAAAATGGGACGACCTTACTGCAAAATTAAAATGTACAATAAATCCTGCAAAGCTATTTACAATTAAATCTTTATCCTTTTCTAAAATAAATGTTTCTAGTAAAATTACAATATCATAATTATTAAGTAAACTAACAAAATGGCCATCACTAATCTTGTCCTTTAGGCCGCAAACATTATAAACTAAAATTTTCAGTTCTATACTCATGCTGTTTATCCGGTCCTCTCCATGTTGTCGTGTCCGGGGATTGGCGATGATCTCCTAGCCGTTGTGGACGTCCTCGTTGTTGATGGAGTCGTTCTCCGTCCTCTGGCCTCCCCTCGCCGCTGCCTCTGCGTACGACCCTGGATCCGAAGCTGCAGCCTGGGGTGTCGGCGGTCGGTCTCCGCCCGGTCCTTTCTGTTTGAGTTCATCCAGGAATTCACTAAAGTCTCGTTTTAGCATAGTAGAAAGAACCTGACCACCGTCATCTTGACCAGCTCTTAGTCTGCCTTCTTCCCACGTAAACCTCGTCTTTCCTATTGTGAGATGGTCAAAAACTAACGGCATACGGCGCCATCCACACAACCGCTCTACCTCTTTACGCACTGCCACAAGATGCGATCGCTTCTCTCTCACCTCCCGCGGGTAGTCCCTATGGATCACACATCCTGTACCTTTAAGGTAATATAACCGGCTCATTATATAGTCTATGCCCGCATCGTCGGGGATATGCGCGATTATTGCGTTTTTGTCTTTGCCCAGAGGGTGTGCTCGATTTATCCATATGTTGTCGCCACTACCTAACACGTCCATGCAGAACTGTTTCACTAAATGTTTGTAGTCCTTAGTTTGGGCTACACCCTTAAGTCCTTTAAAAATTAAATTATTACGCCTAGACCGGGCTTCTAAATCCACTAATTTCATCGCAGTTGCTTTTTCCTGTGCTCGCAGTTTACTAACCTCTTCTTTAAGTTTGTTATTACTTTCCTCAAGCACATTAATTCTAGCACAAAGATCTGAAAAGTCCTCCTTAGTAGCTAGTTTAGACTCTAATTTCGCTTCAAACACAGTCAACTTACTGTCTAATAGTTGGCCTAAGCCGTCCATGAGTTCGGCGCGAGTCCAGTCGCCTACCTTTTCACTTGACACAGGCATCGCACAAACCGCCGCAGTCTCGGGTGACGAATACGATCTTTGACGCTTCCTGTCACTTTGAGGGGTAAAAAATTGTTTGATAGTTTTTTCGGTCATCTATTCACTAAAGGCACTATGATGTAATATAAGTAACTCGATAATCACTCACGTCCGTTACCGTCCTGATGAGACTGGCGAGGCAAACCACCTCTCCACTGAGTAATTTGAGACCAGAAAGAACTTGGTGGCGTATTAAGAACTAGCTCGTCTCTAACTCGCCTAATTTTAATGATCAATAGCTCAAATGAAAGCCCTTACATCATTAATTATTTAAGAATGAACTACTAACTGAAGATAAGGAAAATAATCGTAAAAAAATTTCAAAGTACAAAACGTTTAAAACAAAAAAAATTTATTTAAAACGGATTTTGGCAATGGAATATGCGTGAAAATCTAGTTAATATAGTAATAATGTGTCACAACACTGTCGTTACAACAAAAACAAAATATATCCAATAAGATGGATCCAAAATGGCGGCCAAACTACGTTTCCCATCGAAATGAAGTACTGACCACCCAATAAATATTGATGTTGGTCCCAAGTCAATATTTAGAAAACTGTGCATAGAAAATGCTTATGGTATCTTTTTTTCAAAATGTGTTCAATGTTGGGAAAATCCGACTCGGCACACACAAAACTACAACATAAAACCATGAAACTTTTTCTTGTATTGTTTTTAAGGTTATATTCTATACTTCTCGGACTAATAACAAATAGATTTTTGCTTATTCTCTTCATGATTAAAACTGAGGAACCGAATACGTAGGTTTGCTGCAATGGTAACTGCCAAAAAAGGAATTTTTAGTAAAAAAATATTAAAACAGATAATATGAAGCAGGACAAAAAGTGTTATCTATATAGGTTTATTGAAAAATAATATTAATATTCACGCTTATTCTCCATAAGATTAACATTGAGTTATCTCGGCAAGAAAACATACTAAAGTTATTACTTTCAAATCAAATCAAATCAAATCAGTTTCATTTCCACAATATATAAAAAATTTACAATTTTTCAAAAAAATAAAATACAAATATATATAACCCTGAAGAATTATGAGTACATTGTTTACGTAAATTAATTCTAGTAAAATTAATTTATAAAGTTATAATAGTAAAAACTTAAATACTAGTTGAATGTTTGCTCCGGCTTGAATAATAACTAATGTAATATATAATGGAAATGAGTCTACATAGACCTCAGTGGTCTGTGCATA